TATATATATCGTGTATATATAAGTGTAGTGCGTTGCAGTGTTTTTTCGTTGCAAATAGAACCGAATACACGATGTACACGATATGTACTGCTGACATTCCTATCCTTCAGAAACATTTCTCTCCACTTTTGATGACGATACAGCAATACTTAACCCGCATAAAGATCCAGTCACCGAATACCTTCAAAACGTGCAGTGCTTCGACGTTTGGTCCAAAAAGTGGATAAGTAAAATAAATGCATGAAAGAGCCAATATATTAACTTCTCACTCAGATGTATAACACTACCATCTGCTTACTTTAACGGGATATCACTACCCTCTGTCGAACACGTACACAACTTGGACAAACGACTTCCGGACACATTACTATAAGAAAACGAACTAAACAGACGTTACAAACTGTTATCACCACTACTCCACACGATCCAAACTTCCACTTGATTACAAAAGATTAATTACACCAATTAAACCTATGAGGACTTATGGTCGAACTCTAGGGTCAACCAAGCATTTCAACTCCCAACGCATCCAAAAATTCCGATCAAAAGTCATAAGAAGAATAGCTAACTCTCCTTATTATGTATCAAACCTCACCCTACACCGAGACAGTGACACACCTCACCTACACCGAGACAATATTCTCTTTGTTACAGAAGTAGCGATATGCTATTACAAAAATCTATCAATCCATTTGGACAAATTCCACGTGGTCCATCAGCTCAGTTCCACTACCATCCCAGATAATCCTGCCCGTCGGCTGAGACGCCGATGGCCACGTGATGACCTACGTAGTGACGAAGAAAATTAAAAAAAAAAGTGGTTATTATTTATTTCTTCAAAAGGAGGCTCACCACTTGGTGATTTCTCCTTGCATATTTTTCATGATTTTGTCCCTACAGCATTTTTACCGTTCCAATTGTTTTACACATGTAAAAATCAATAAAAAGAAAAAGTAGAAATGATTAAACAGAATTTGTTTATGTGGGAAACAACCACCAGACAAAAAGTAAAATAAAAGCTAACAATGGGTTCATGTATCAAGTTACTAACCGCTGCAGTCTTAAAAATCAAATAAAGACAAAATTGTCATAATTTAATGTGTTGAGGAACAATTTTCCTTGGTATTTATCTAAATTGTACCTAAACACTGTGAACATTAAATAAAAAACATGATTGATCATGTTGACTTTCTTGTGATGTCGCAGTCGTAATAACACTTTTAATCCGATTTTAGGTAAAACTTTACAAGCCACGATTATCTACAGGTTGCTAAAAAGTGTTAAAAAGATTTCTGTGTAAAATTTAGACAAGTGGTAGTGAAAGCCAACAATGGGCTCATGAAGTTAAGCGATTGATGAGTACTGACTGCCTTACGGGGTCCGAAAGATCAGTAGGTTGTCCAGTTGAAGTGTTGCGGACACAATTTTCCATGAGCATCTGTATAAACTGTACCCAAACACTTATGATTTGATCTTTTGTGAAAACCGTCCTTTTTGTGTAAGAAAAGCGTGCCGGGTGTTGTTGAGACGGTGTCAAAGAGCGAGAGATTCCTTGGGTGTACTTACACGAGTGGAGATGGAGGGAAACTGAGCTGGATGGAAGTGGGAACGGACGGGGCTTTTGTATCGATCTAAGTCGTGGCGTGGTTTCTGGCGCCGCATCTCAGGGAGATCAATCAACCATACCCGACCTGATTTAAACTTGGGGACAAAACAACGGCAAAACATTTGTACGTTAGTAGTTTTGGACCTTTTGAATTAAAAACTGACCAGGGGTTTAGGGGTTTTAGGGTTTCATTCGCCACATTAAAGGCCCGGCTGATCAATCCGTGTCCTAGATAGATAACTTCTTTCCTACACCAATAATAGCGAAGTTTATAAAATTTTGAGCGTAAGGCAAAACAATCTCCTTTATTCAATATTAAAACTAAAGAAATTCAGATGACTAATTTCACCGCTATAAACATCACACATCTCATCTTAGGTATTTCCATAATAAATTACGCATTTATATCTTAATCCGTGTAACGTTTGGGAAAGGGTGAAAATAGCATTTTATCTCGTCAACAAATTCTGGATGATATGGAAACCTATTTTGTACCAAAGAGACCTCCCATGTATCCAAATTAACTTCTCCAAATTATTTGATAACACCTATCTACAATTGGCGCACTGCATGCTACTAAGCTATTTTTTTCAAATCCTAGTAGTTTTTTCCCCTTCAAAGTACTGGAGAATGGGCCCTATGAGCCAAAGAAAATATAAAAAAAAGAATTTTCATAATTTATTAAAACAATTAATTCCTGTTTTTTGCATTTAATTAATCAAACAATAATTACGCACTAAACTAACAACCTCACGTCTCTGAATCAGTGTTGCCCCCAGTGTTGCCAAAACGAGTTTAACAAGTTCAATTCGTCTAAACAAGCGGAGACTTCTTGGGATCACTGATTTTAACGTAACGTATTTATCGTTTCTTTTTACATTTAAAAAAACATTTTAACGCGCTAATCAAACGTAGATACACTGAACTAACAACCTCACTTATCTGAATCAGTGATGCCCCCATTGTCGTCAAAAAGGGTTAGAGAGAACTGAGACATTTAAAAAATGTAACTTAATTCTTTTAGGAAATGTGTATTTCTGCTTTTGATGTGCAAACCATTCAATGTTAGGGTTAGGGTCGAGTTAGTATTAGGTTATGTTGGGTTCGGAATAGGTTTTTCTCTAATGGTTTGATTTCGAAAAAAAAATTCGTATTAAGCATCAATCAAGGACCCTAAGTACTAGTTTTTGTAACAAAGAAAAAATAAACATTTTTGAATGGAATTAGCCGGAGGCAATTTTTGTTTTTCCGATGTCTGGTGTTCTGCTTAAAAATGCATAACTCCTGTAGATTTCATCTAAATTTAACATTATTACAACCGTTGGAATTAAGCTTAATTTTCTCATCTTTCATTCTGTGTCCACAAAGTTTACCTAACCTTAACCCTAACCCAACCTAACCTAATCCGCCCTTAACCTTAACCATATACCTACCTGTACCTAACCCTAAGTTGAACAACAGACAGAATAACTAATACGTATTCGTTTTAAGCCCACTTTAAAGCCCTTAAGTAAGAATTGTTACAGCAAATATTATTAATATTATATATAATATTTTTGAGCTGAATTAGCCTAGCCAAGGGTTAAATATAACTTAAACGAACTGAACTAACAACCGCACTTCCTGGAATCAATGTTGCCACCCGTGCCAAAACAAGGGTGTGCAAGAACTGAGAAAAAATATTTTAAGTAATTTAAGTTCTTTTATTAAATTTGGTGTTCTGCGATTGTTGTACAAACATTTCAAGGATAGGGTCAGGGTTGAGTTTGGATTAGGATAGGCTAGATTAGGTAGTGTTAGGGTAGGTTGGGTTTGGGCTAGGTTTTCTCTAATGATTTCCAGTCGAGTTCTTTTTAAATTTTTAGACTTTAGGATTTTTATCCAACCTCAGGGCATACATTGCCCGTTGTGGAACATCATCTCCTTTTGCCACGGCAGATAAAGAACTATTCAAAAAATGTGAACTTTTGGAATCTTTTCTCCAAATACGATGGGTCTTTGTAGGGGTTTGACTCACATTTATCCTTTCCACATGTGCTCAAAATGGTATAAAAACACATTCATAGCTTTTTCCATCAAATAAACCCTCTTTAACTCCAAATTAACACTTTTTAACTTCAAATTAACCTTTTCTTTAAAGCATTAAAAATATCTAGGTTGAAATATAACTAGTAATGAAAAATTCCTGTATATTTGCGATTAAAATAAGATTTATTAGATTTAATGGTGATAAATTAAAAATGATATAAAATTAAATATAAAAAGGAAGGATTCATTTTTTGATTTGAAAATTTAAAAAATAAAAAAATGGGTTCTTAGCTACAATACGGTATGTAAATTAATTACAACTAAAATTAAAACATATATAAAATTAAATATAACACCTAATTAATGGTTCTTCCATTAATTCGAGATTGATTTTTTAATACATAATAATTCCTCTATAAAATAACCATTTTATATTTTAAAACAGAATTAATTGGAGAATCATTATGAAGATGTTTGTCGGCATTTTTGATGGATCAAGATTTTTCTAGGTTGTTTATTGGGATCCTCCGTCCCTCTTTCTTACCGTCATATTTCTTACACGTTCATTCTTCGTCCTTAAAGAATAATTTTAAGCTTGTATGAATTTTTGACAGTCAAGGATGGTTTTGTGTGAGGTGCATATCTTGTGTTCTTCTTATTTTCTTTCGATTCTCTTGTCAGTCTGCTCGCTATGAACAAACCACACAACACATATCACGTTTATTTTTATTAATTTACATTGCATTTAGTTTTTACCCTAATTAATTAAATAGATTGTTTAGTTTGTCTCTTTGTCTGTGCGGTTCATTTAATTTATATTTATTGTCTGTGTTTGCGTTTTGTATGTTAATTTGTTAACCGTTACTGAGTTGTTGTGATATTTGACAAACAAATTTAAGTGAAATCAGGCGATACAATGATTTCTTTTAATAAACAGCCTTGATTTTGATGAATCTAATCGACAAAGATTTTTATCGTTCGTGTTTGTGTTGGAGCATCCCGGAACCGACGACATGGATTATAGCTTTCAAGCTGTCAGTTTGATCAATTGTACCAAGCAACCCACGGAGAATGACAAAGAATTTCAACATTTTTGACATCCTGAAGGCGTTTTGTTTGAATTGTTTTAACACAGAGAAGTGAACTAGTTTGTTCCATTGACTCCTGATATGATTAATAATTTTACAATAAAAATATTAAGAATAGTACAATTAATTAAGGTTTTCAGTTGAGATAAAAAAGTCAATGGCACGAGCGGGATTCGAACCCACGATCTTCGACTTGATACGCCGCTGCTCTACCTCTTGAGCTATCGTGGGAAGTTGGTGTCCGAGTGGATTTTTCAAAGTAATTACACTGGGTACATTTATCCTCATTCAGACATGCCCACCTTTTTGCACCGGAATTTGATAAACTCAAAGTGTTCTTAGTTGTTGAACATTGCTTAGGGTTCGAGACAGAATTTCCGTGTCGTCATAGTGATGATGAAACTCACTGTAGCTGGTTTACAGGATGGGACTTGAATGCTCTCCTCAGCCTTGTTTTGTCTGATATCTGAGTTATGTTGCATCTCACCCTGCAGTCTAGGGTTATAAGGGTGAGTAGGAAGCGTTTAAGTTTATAAAGATGCATATGTGCCAGGTGGAAAATCCTATGCCAAATTCAAAAACTCAAGAAATACTCTTTGTTATCTAGAATGGATGACGTCAAACAAACCTCCTGCATCGTGGAATTATGCCCGCATAGATGCCCCTATGAAGAGATAGGTTACTCGATGTGTCCACATAATAGAAACTTGTCATGCCTTGCCTCCTAACAGAGAGCGTGTAGGCGAGTCGCCGAATTTAAAAACGGTTTCGGGCACAGTAGCTTTTCTCCCATGGAGTACTAGATATTCGTAGATATTCCTCCATCGATTCCTAATTTAGATTAGTTTATTACTATTGTGTGTAGGTCAATGGAGGAAAATCGAGTACCCCATTGACTAATTAGAATGAGTGCAATGAAAAGGAGGGAAAATTAAAAAAAAAGTGGGGTTGAGATGGGAAGTTAGTGTCCGAGTGGATCGAGGTCACGATAGCTCAAGTGGTAGAGCAGCGGCGTTTCAAGCCGAAGATCGTGGGTTCGAATCCCGCTCGTGCCATTGACTTTTTTATCTCAACTAAAAACCTTAATTAATTGTAATATATTGATTGGTCAAGCGGACCACGAAATTAGTGAATTAAGAATAGTTTTGGGCCGTTCTTCTTCAACGGTTGGACGCTTTTTTTCCGGTTCTGTTTGTTCGATTTTCTTCTGACGGTGTTTCGGTTATGTAGGAATTTGGTCGCTTCCACATTCTCGTGCTTGCTGAAGCGAGGTGTTTGTCCGCAAATCTTTGCAATTCCATGACCTCAGGGATATTAAGATCCCTATGTAAGTCTTTATTCGTTACGTACCAAGGTGCGTTGACCATGTTACGTAAGATTTTATTTTGGAGTGTTTGTCATTTATTTATTTATTTTTTTATTACAATCTGTAATTATTATTTACAATATCTAATTTGCGGATACATGAACTTATATACAACTATTTACATTGAGGGGAGCAAATAATCAATGTTACCCTCCCTCTTCACTTTGTTTATGTTGTTTTACTGTTTACTCAGAAAGGAGGTCGCGGGGCCATTTCGTCTTGAGATGCCTTATGGGGTTGTAGGGATGGGTTCTATAGGACAGGGCTTGGGCAAGACTATTTGGATGGTGCGAGAGCTTTTTGTGGAACTTGGTAAACTTTTTGGGAATAAATTTTTTGATATAAGGAATTTGAAGGTCGTTGTGGAGTGTAGCATTTGAGACATTATAAGGAGCCTTTACAATGGAGGACTTTAGATTGAAAGGATTGGAGACGTTGAATATTGGAAGGTTTAGCGGTTCCACAGTTCTATTCCGT